TAATATTCTAAATATATTTTATAATTTTAGATTGTATTTGATATATTAAATAACATTATAATGCGAAAAGAATATGAAGATATATATATCCTCTATGGTTAGAGAAAGTCGAAAAATTGGAACCAATCCGTACCATAATACTAAAAATAATTACAATTAAATTTGTATAGAAACTCGAACAACTTGAAAAAATTTCAAGTTAAGTTCGAGTCATAAAGTACGACTTGTCGACTCAAATAAATCAAAAAAATTATTAGACTCAATTTGACTTGATAGAATGCTCACCCCTAGAATAAGCGTGAGGATAGAAAAGAGAAATGACTGTAATATACAACCTCAATTTGTACAAAAAAATCAAGAATGTGAGAAACGTTTAAGCGATTCAAACACCAGATCATATAAAAGTCAAGCATCTTTCAGCATAGAGGATAAGATTTTGATAAAAATCACAGCAGGATTAGCTGTTCTCAGCTTCTTGCATATTTGCAAGAGAACTATGTTCTCTCTGTTAGCTGTTTACAGCATATTGTAGAATGAATAGAACAGTGCTGTGAAGCAGAAATGTCTATACCTTTCTCCTGAACAAATCTTCCAGACCTATGCCTTAGTCTCTTGTTTGCACTTTCTGGAGTAAGAGGGAAGAAGAATCTTGATGTTGAGTAACCAAAACATGTTCTAACTCTTTCATTCATTTTCTTAAATGACTTGGATTGCTTTAGCATCCCAATTTTTCTCTTCTCAAATTTTGCGATTTTAGGAAATACATCCAATATAATGAGGTAAAGTTCTTTTAACGATTTCTTTCATTTTTCCTAGTAATTATTACTTTTAATGAAGGGAACATGGAGAAGCCACAGTCATCAAAGATATTCCCTCAAAAATCCTACTTATTAATGGCACTCCAGCAGACTAAGGTATTGTGGTTAAGGTCAGTACAAGGTGCAGTCTTGGTGCTAGAACCCATACATTGGTCAATGACCAAGGCATAAAAAGCTCGTGCACCAGAATGGAGAAATACATACATGATTCCAAATGTATGTGAGATGTGTGCATAACATATTAGCTTCTAAGAATATTATTTCTTCCACGAACCATTCGGACTAAAATACTTGCAAAACAGTATGTTTAACACAGTGATTGATTACCTCAGTTTCCATTTTGAAAGACACTAGGCGTGCCATTACAGTAGCAGCTGCATCTTCGTAAAATCCAGCGATCAAATCCTATTACATTTAAAACAAGCTTGATTAGATGAAAACTTGTAAATATTGGTTGCTAAAAGTAAGTTGAGAAGCTGACCAAACCTGCTCTATAGTCCCAATTACTCAATAAATCCCCATCCTCAGTGGGGATGAAAAATGAAAAAAAATAATAGGCAAAGAAAAGAAGAAAAATCATTCAAGTTTGTTAGAAGAATGGGATATGGGAACTAGCAAGCTTTGACGTTCACTAAGAAAAATATCAATTTATAATCACCAAGTGACAAAGTATCCTCTCAAACTATAATTTTCTGAAATATTCCGTATATAAATTTGGCTAGTTTTTGTACTAGTATTAAGGTCAAATGTTCACTTTTGTCCATTCATTTTTAGTTTGCAATTGTTAAGTTGATGAAGTGTTATACACTGTTATTTATATTTATAACACAATAAAAAGTGACTAAAGTTTTTAAGGTCAAGATACAAAAATTTAGATAAGCCAAATGGAGAAACAGCATTTATATCGTAATCTGATGAATAAAGAAAAAAGGACATAAAAGGGAAGAAATGAGCTGGATAAAAATGAAAAAGAATAATAAAAGGAGGCATTGAGAGAAACTATCGAAGAGAAATTCACTCACAAAGCAAGCACCGAAATCACTATATTCATGTTTCATTGCCATCTTCATGAAGTATAATCCGTTTTCTAATTTAGATTAGACTGAGCTAAGTTGTAAGAGAAATTCACTAGCAAAGCAAGCACCGAAATCACTAAATTCATGCTTCATTGCCATCTTCATGAAGTATAATCCGTTTTCTAATTTAGATTAGACTGAGCTAAGTTGTTGAGTTTGGTTGAGGGAGAGAATATCAAGGATATGCATCACATCATCACTTTAGAGTGATGAAATTCTATTGATAGCATGGCTATTTGTGCACCTAGGTACTGCAGAATAAGGCAACATACCGAAATCTTATTGATCTGTGTTCTCTCAACCAACCTACATATCCATATTTTCCTGATAGTTCGGTGCAGAATTGCTAGATGCTTTGCAACAGATTTCACATGTCAAACCCTTCTTCAAACATCTGAGCAAAAACATTAGGAAAACACAAGCCAAGAGAATTTGTAAAATGCTCAAGTCTCAATTAATTCCTTGTTTCCAATAAATGGATATCAAATAAAATAATAGGAAAAAATTGTCATCCATTTCAACTGTGATTTCCTTTCCTGATAAAGTTGCATAGGATACTTCAGGGACAAACACAACTGTTATTTTCTTTTCCTCATTCATATTGCGTATTTGGAAGAAACATGAAATAACAAGAAAATCATTTATATGAAACAAAATTCATCAATAATTACATTAGGAACCAAAGGCTACCTCTATGCTTCCAGGTCCAGCAACCCATCTTCTTGAAAGAGTTGTCACACGAAGCCTCATTTCGCCAGTGCTATGCTGGTAACTGCAGAAAAATAACATCAAGTAAAATCTGTTAGAATGCTACCAAACAGAAGAAAGAAGCATCTATATAATGCATATAAGGTAAGAGCTCATACTATGTTAGAAATTGGAAATAAAATTGACTGCTTGAGGACTTAACAGTAATATCAGGGACGTCCTTCTTAACAATTTCAAACATTAAACACATTTTACAACGAGAACTATTCGGGATCAAGCCAAATATATGCTTACACATGAACTAATAAAGGCAAGAAGAAGAGATAGTTTAGAGGTGGCCCATGATGCATGCTTTGCAACTGTTTCAAGGAAAAAAAAGGCACAAGTCTAAGTTCAAAAAACCTTAATTTGAAGACAGTCCAAGACCCTTGTATCCTGTCTGGAAAACACGCCTAAGAGAATGTGATTTTAGCCAACACATAGGAAATTTGATGGGCAAAAGTAAGAAGCCACCACCTGAATGTATTTGTGTTTTTAATATAAAAGAAAATATTATACAGATTGCTGGCAAATACAAACCTGGTCAACAGAACAAGCAAAGAGATCAAGCCATGTCCTTGGTGCACAAGCTGCTTTGCAAGTGCTTCATAGAACTTAACGGCTTTCTGATAATGAGGAGCAGAATCCTTATCCAGGTCCTTGTGGGAACGTATGGGTTCAGATAAATTCTTCGAGACAATCTAGAAGGAGATTCGTAAACAGGTAATAGAATTAGTTGAAATGCATGTTTTCATGATGAATGACAAAATAATGGAGCAGAGCCATCCTTACAGCACCAGGGCCTTCAGTTGAGGGGCCACCAACAAATCAGGGGCGGATGCACTAAGCCCCTCAGGGGTAAAGTGCATCCATTATTTTGGGAAAGAAGTAAAAATTAAAATTTTGTACCCCATTTATAAATTTCTGGATCCTCCACTGCAACAAATGCCATGATTCGAGCTCCAGAACCCGCAAAGACTGCACCCAACAAACAGGCAGCCACGCTCACAGCAGTTCCTGTGCACCTGCTTGACCATTGATCAGCGGGAATGGGCCAAGGATCCTTTTGGAGCTCCTCCAAGAACTAGAAAAGCAAACATGTCATTTAACATTTAATTAAGTATTGTTAACAGGAAAATTTTGCTAATAACCTACCGAATTGAGGGAAAACTCGCAGTAAGAGGCAGGTCGAAGGAATCGTGCAATGCTCTTTGAAGACAACCTGTCCCTGGCACCAGCAATGGCACCAGTGACGGGCTTGTTAAGGAAAAAGCCCATTTGCTCAAGAAGCTGGTTTCTTAAGACATCTTTGGAGCCATTGAAGACATAGGTCTTAGGAACGGTACAAAAGCCAAGCTCATGGACATGGACAAGCGTACCAAAGGTGATCAAGCCAACAAGAGAGTTGTCAGGCAAGAGGCCAATGGCCCGGTATAAGGCATACTTATTAATAAAAATATTAAAAATTGTTAATTATCTTGTAGACATTGATGCATACAGTGGAATAATATAATGTATCATAAACGATAATTGATGCTATGTCACGTCCTATGATCATTATTTAAAATGAAATTAAAAAGGTTATTTTATTTTTATTCCCTCAATTTGTTTTATAATTTTTTATATATTTCATTTTTTTCCGAATAGTCTAAAGTAATTACAAGTAGTCTCCTACATACATAATTAATCAAACTTTTAATTTTTTAGGGAGATCAACATTCTATTTTACCAGTAAGTTCACTCAAATTTAAATCATTATTTTATTTAAATTCAACATTAATTACCATTTATGTCACATTATATTATTACATAATATACATCAATGTTTCTAAAAATAATACACATAAAAAATTATATGAATATTTATACTTTTTTATTTATAGAGGATGTAATTAGCATATGTTGATAATGCAGAGATGAAATCAAAATATTCAAATGTTTTAAGATCAACTTTGAATAAAGGTCATAGTTTAATGATGAGGTTAAGTCTTTAAAAGTTTAGAGACTAATTGAATCATTGAGTGACTTAGTGGTTAGAGTGAGTACTGTTATGATTTAAATTTTGTGCTCGAGTAATTATATCTACATGTGTATGTGAATCATTAGTGGTTAAAAAAATTATGAATATACATTATTTTATGATCACTCTAAAATATTCAAAAGTACATAAATATCAATTTAAAATAATAATCATAATTTAGAGTGAGTTAGATAAAATTTTTATAGATAAAATAATAATGACTATATATATATACATAACCCAGTCTTTATGTTTTACATATTTTTCTTTTACTATTGAACCGTAAAGAAGGCGATTGATTGACCCCACGCCCAACTGTGACGTATAAAACCTGCGAATGGAGAAGCTCCTGCCACGTCGCTCTGTCAGAAGCCATGGCCATCACTTGTGTTTATTTATCAAAACTTCCTACTCAACTGTCCATTTGCCGTTTGGCTGCCAAGAAAATCTCTGAATTTTCCACGGGGAAAGTTCAATATCCAGAAGGTTTATCTTTTCCTGATCTTTTCGTTCATATGTTATATATCTCTTTACATTGCTGTTTCGCAATATTTGTGCTTAATTCTTCCGTTTACTGATATCTGAATTTTGGGTTTCGTTGATTAAGGCGAAAGGGATAACATGGGAGAAGCAGAGTGTAAGGACAAAGAAGCACATGAACCCAATCCAACGAACGTGAAGCGTGCATCTGATCATATAATGCCTCACCTTCTTAACTTGTCAGTTTTCTTCTTTTTCTCTCGTCTCTTCAGCTTGATCACACGCACTGACACACACATATTATCACTGGACTGAAGCTAAAATTTATCTCCCCGTAATGAATTTTAAAGAGATTGTAGTTTACATGACTTCCCGAGAAATTGCAGATAAATGCAGTTTTTCTATTGTTTCTGGTTCCATGTTTGATATTCATTTACTAGATTTTACCGATCAAATATTCATCAACCACATCATAATGATCATGTAAACCTTTTTTATGGATCGGTTAAGATACGGTTCTCGTCCCACATCGCGCGACTTTGAAATATACGATACGGATGCTTCTTTTGAAGACCCTCTCATGTGTGCCCGTGGGTTAGTATCGAATCTTGAATATTTTCATTTGAAGTGAATTATCTGTGTCAACGGTTGCCCTTTGATGAGTCTGGAACATTGTTTCTGGATCCTATAATACTCGATTGTTTTATTCCATTTTAAGCAATCGAATTATTTGTTTTACTTTTTCATATGCAACTTTTCTATCTTTTTCTACAGAGTGAAGCAGATCAAATCAGCATTTTATTCTCTTTCTAAGGTCTCATCACCTACCACTTCTCGATCTTTGAGCAGACAATTGTTTGCAGAATATTTGAGACGTTCACCGTAAAACTTGTTTTCTAAATTCATGCCGATTTGGTCCCATAGATGTGATAACGAAATTTTGTTTCACTTTATCAGGTTTTTAGTGAATCAAGAATTGTTGAATATAGTGTTACGGAGAATACAATTTCAGCTGGAAAGCAAGAGGTTTGGAATTTCATTTCGATTTTGTCTCGGTTTGATCATTGATAATAGCTAGATGTTTGAAGCTCTGCATATTCATTACAGATCTTAATTGACAACAAACAACAATACAAGTTCTTGGGAAGAAACATCGACATGATTTCTCTGATCAGGCTGTATGTTGAGGATGGCAAAGTTGTTCGTCACGAAGATTGGTATGCACCGACTACTTCTTCCACATATTCGAGCATTTTACTTTCGAGTCTGCAATTTATGTGTAATTTTAGTTTGTTGATGATGAAACTTTTCATGTATATTGGTTATAGGTGGGACAAGAAGCCTCTTCGGAATAGAGAAACAGTTAAGATTCCATTGGTTGGTCGAATGATGGAACTGACTCGCAGGGGTTCCATGCTTGCAACTCATGCTTTAATGGGGTTTGGGAAGGATCCTACCGGATAATATCACGGTCGACAATGGAAAGAAATGTCATACACGCTACGGTTCGAGTGCGTGCATGTCCGTTTCAGTGTCATACTCCTTAGTTTATAGAAAGAGGATAGCATTTTCAGTGGCGGTTTGAATGAATACAAATAAGCACGCTTGAGCTCCATTTGAACACCATACGCTTCACAATAACTCTACCTACAAAACTCTGTATGTAGAAGAAGATTGCTTGTATTACAAATCTACGTAGTACCTAGATAAGACAATCGACACATGTTATAATTTCAATGGCTATTCAAATATTATATCGTCACACGTTAAAAAAGATCTAATTCAAATATCACACTAAAAATGATAAATTGAAGTATAAATTAGATAAATTACATATATCAGATAAAAACAATTTCAGATATTATTCTAAAATTATTAAACACAAAAATCGATAAGTGTTCAAAAGATGAGTCCATATCCTTTAATTTTCTGACTAATTTAGCTTTTCTAATACTTCAGTCTTCCATGGCTTCTTACGTGTGTTAACGCTTAGTTTAGACCGGCTATACCTATCCATTAGTGACAGGTATTTGTCAAATCCAACAGGTTTGGCCCGTGTGAGTTACGTTTTGGATTAATTTGAAACTATCTGGCCCGACTTAATGTTAAATAATAATAAATTATTTAAATTTAATTATAAAATTAAAGAAATAATAACACAATTTACTAAAATGTTTTTATCATTTAAATAATAGGTGGGTCGATGAGTTGCATTTGATTTTAGCTTGAACATAATTTTTTATTCAAAGTTAATTAAGATATGATCTAAAATTAAATTTTATTTTATTAAATTAATATTTTAGATATTAAAAAAAGGGAAATAGAAAAGGGGATAATTTATCAACCAAATTAGAAAATTGAGATTGAGTCTTAGGAATGATAATGAATTCGGTATTTGGTCATTTTGAATTTGATTCAAGAAACATGTCTTTTAATTTATGATTTGGTTTAAAAAGTATATTTTCTTTGTTCGAATTTGATTCGACTTCAATTTTAGGGTAAAATTTACATCTAGTCTGACCCAATTCAACATAAATATAAAAATATTCGATAAAATAAGGATCTAATTGAAGAAAAAAATATAGAGAGTGAGATATTATATCAATTATCTCTAATTTTATAGAATAAAATTATAGTATTATTTTGGGTTAGGTCGAATAAAAAAACACTCTAAATATAAACTTGATTCAACCTTATCTTCTATAAAATCAAAATAAAAAATTAAATTCATTTTTCTTAATAAAAAAACAAAACTCACCAAATCAAAATTAATTGAATTCAAATTAAATAACCAACCATAACTGGGGTAATTTTGGTAAAACTTAAAATTTAAGGCTAAAATAAATTAGACACGATTGAAAATGCTATAAAAGAGAATAACATTTTAGGTTGGACGCAACCTAACATTTTACCTTCTTCGTAATGTTTTCGGTTGTAACCTAAAATATTATATTCTTCCTAATATCTAATAATAAAAAACATTATTTTCTTCATAACATTTTAAGACATAATAAAAATATTACAATAAACATAACATTTTAAATAATGTCCAACCTAAATATTATACTTTTGATAACATTTTCAGTTCCGTCCTATCATTTTCTAGCTTTAAATAAAACTATCGTTTTTGGACTTTAGTCCCTAATCGAGTCCATTTAGTAGGTCGTTATGTTTGAGTGGAAAAGTTATGACTCAATCATGGAGCAACTAAATGACAAAATCAAACTTGTAATCTTAATCCCAATAAAGATCGAGCATTGAAATAAAAAAGTTACTGCCCATCCAAAAAGAAAATAAAAGCTTAAAGAGAAGACGAAAAACAATGATTGAAAGCAAACATCATATCGAAAATCCATCCACTACTCATTCTTTTGTTAACTTTGATGCCATTCTCCTCTTTTTGACTGGTCTTTTGCTACATATAAAGCAGCAGTCTTTTGAAGGATCCGAGGCATAGCAGCAGTGCTGTTTCAGGTTGGTTGGTTTCCAATTATTAACTGATTATTTGGGCTGGGTTTTGACAGATTCCAGAATTTTTTCCCTACTTTGATGCAAACACATTGGACAGAAGTAAACAATAACAGCTTTGTGTTTGTAGATAATTTTTGTTTCTTTTTGGGCCTAAAGACTGCAAAAGGTTAAATGTGTGGAAACTTTGTCTCCCCCATTTCTCTCCTTTGCATTCACCTCTTTTATCTTTTCAAACTTTTGAGGTCTTGGGTAAGACAATTAAACCAAAGAGGTGAGTTACTTGCTGCCATTTGAAAAAAAATTAAAGGATAAATTATCCCACCTTATTAGAGTTATATATATATATATTGTGCTATTTACATAAATTATTTTTTCATGCTTATATTATGAATTTGAATGGTATAAATTGACGGATATGTGAGGGCGAAGATCTTATTCGAATTTCTTTATATATAATAGATATTGATTAAGAGTAAAGCAAAATTAATTTAAGTACATCTCTTATTATAAAGTTTTTTCGAGTATTTTTTTTATAAATAGATACGAAGAGTTAGATTTATAAGTTAAATCGAACCTATTAAGTGGTCTTAGTAATAAAAGAAAATGTTATTATACTTAAAGGTTCTAGGTTCGAGCAATTATATGTATAGAGTATGTATTATTAATAGATTAAGAAAAATCTCAACAAATATTTATATATATATATATATATATATTAGAGGACTGTGGGGGAAAGCTTAATCTTATTACATAATTTTGTATGTCCCAATTACTGCAAAATTAGTAATACTAATTGGTCGAATCAATTATATCTTGCCTCTTAGCGAAGCTACTCAAGTCTGATGAAGTAAAACATAACAAGCAAAGTATCCGAATCTAAAAGCAAAAAGAAAAAAATGAAAAGAGAGAAAACAAAAAGAGAAGAGCAAACACTAAAAAGAATCTACATTTTTACTAAAGATTACAATGCCAGAAATTTGTTTAAAAAAGTAAAAGAAATAAAAAATATATATTTATATAGTATTTTAATTATAGAGATTTAAAAATATAGAAGGAAACAAAAATAGGAGCTAGAAATCTTTTTTTTAGTTAAAATTGAACTCAAATTAAATCCGGTTCAAGGTGTGGTATTCTTATATATAATTCTATTTTAATTAGTTAAATGGTAGTGAATATATTTATTTATTTTTAATTATAAAATATATAAATATTTATAAAATCATTTATCTAGAATACTCGTTGGATAGATATAAGGAGAAGATGTATATAAAAAAAGAGAAGAAAAATATATAATATACTAAATCAATAATATATTATAATTGAATCATACAATCTCTTTTATGTAAAATGAGACCTAATGAAATTTTAAATTAAAATATTAGTATCTTTCGGGGGTTCTTAAATTGTCGATTTCTTTTGTAAAAGAAAAGTATTAAGAAGTGCACTTCCAAGTATAAAATCCCTTAAAAGCAACAAATATTCCTTTAGTATGGTAATTGAAGTTGTAAAGTGGGAGTTCCTTTTGGTGATGCTAAAGTGGCAACATATTTTTGGTCTAAAGATTTAGATGTTGCTTCATTGTTTTCTTGGTTTAGAATTTGATAATCCAGCCGATACTTTTCAAGGGCCAGGAATGTAAATAAAGAAAAGTTAGATCAACTATCCATTCATGAAAATAAGTGATCTTTGTTTACAGAAGAATATGCTGCTTTTATTTTGAAATATGATTGCTGCTTTTATTTTGAAATATGATTGCTACTTTGCATAGCTCTTACGGCATGAATCACTCTCTTTTACATTCTAATAGTTTCCCCCACTATTTTCGAATGCATTTTATAAATAGTTTATTGTGATTATTATATAGTATTTCTTCGTAATTCTTTTTAATATATTAATAATGCATACACACATTGCAAATGCAGCTGTTCGAATCCAGGGCCTCTATGGAGAATAATATTCCATTTTATTACTGAAGTCAGTTGATGGGTTATCACATCAAATTTGTTTTTTGTTTTCAACAATTCCTACCTAGGAGGAGGGGAATGAGAATTTTACTCCTAATGGATATTGAACCCACAACCTAGAAGAAATGAGAGATGTCAATTAAGAGCTTTTAACCACGTGTTTTAGAGATTGTTGACAATATATCAATTATATTTAAATTTCTTAGTGTACTGCTGCTTAAGTTGTGTATTGTTTCTCAGCAGTTGGTTACGCTAGTCTATGTAATTAAGATTGTCAACGGTAAAGTGCACTTTTTTTCTTCCATTTAAGTTTAAGTAGGTTTTTTAACGAGGTACTTACGGTTGTTTTTGTATGTTTTCCTCAATAAATACATACAAAGCTTCCTTTAAAAAAAATATCAAATCAATATATAATGTTTATATGATATTTTAGTAACTAAATAAATTATAGTATATGATACTTAATGACATGTGTATTTTGATTAGTCAATATTACGTTAACAACATAATTCTTTTGATTAAGTTAAGGTGATTATAAAATATTATTTATTCTAAGTATTCTCATCTATTTTTTATAATGAACGTTCAACCACCTTTGTAATCGTCGGTGCTCAAACTCATAACTTTTAGAAATAACAAACGATTCCTTTAATCACTGAGATAATTTGATTTGTACATATTAACAACATAATTGATTGTTAAAATAACAAGTAAATTATGTGTCAATTTTATTTTTTTTCTCAAACTCAAGTATCAATAAATGAACATAGAATCAAGTACAATACATAATGCGTTGATTATTGTGATTATGAAACTGCTCCGACGAGAGTGGATAGTGGCTACACGACATATAGGTTGGCAATCTAATGCAGTGGCCGACTATTTGGCGGCTCTAACTAGGGGGCAGAATTTGATTCCCCGCCTGCTTCAGCAAGACATGCAATGTTGTGTGCTTAATGATTAATGTCTTTTGATTGTTCTGTTTAAAAAAAAATTATTGATCAAATCTTTTTTCAACTCTATCATCTACTTTAATTCACCCTGACGCTCATATCTTTAATGAATATTTAAATAAATAAAAATACAATGAATTGATATGGTTTATAAATTTAAATTTTATATTATCAGCGTACCAGATTGAGGTTTCAATTTTCTTTGTGAAAAAAAAATTCTTTCATAAATTTTATTTAA